CCCTCCCGGTGCCCCCCACAACAGCCGGACCCCCTTTCTCCGCACGCCCTGCAGCCCCCCGCCCGCCGCCGCTCTCCGTGCCCCCTCCCGCACGTCGGGGGGGTCCCCTCGGCACCCCAAGACCCCTGAGCCGGCCCCGCGGGACCCCCGCGGGACCCCCGCGCCCATGGGGGACGCGCCGCCGCCGGAGCTGGAGGCGGTGCTGGGGGGGGGCTCCTGGCCGGTGGGCACGGATTTCGAGGGGTGCCCCGCGCCCCCCGCGCCCGTCCGCCTGGGCAGGGACGTCTGCTACGTGGTGCTGGCCGTGCTCTTCAACCAGGAGGTGAGGAACCCCGCTGGCCCCGGTGCCCCCCGGTACCCCCCCGTTGCTCCCCGGTACCCCCCCGTTGCTCCCCGGTACCACCCCGGTGCTTCCCGGTGCCACCCGGTGCCATCTGGTGCCCCCCGCTGCCCCCCGCTGCCCCCCCGGTGCCACCCGGTGCCTCTCGGTGCCACCCGGTGCTCCCCGGTGCCCCCCGGTGCCCCCCGGTACCCCCCCGGTGCTCCCCGGTGCTCCCCGGTGCTCCCCCGGTGCCCCCCGGTGCCACGCGGTGCCACCCGGTGCTTCCCGGTGCCCCCCGGTGTCCCCCGGTGACTGCCGGTGCCACCCCGTGCCCCCCGGTGTCCCCCGGTGCTCCCCGGTGCTCCTCGGTGCAACCCGGTGCTCCCCGGTGTCCCCCGGTGCTCCCCGGTGCCCCCCGGTGCTCCCCGGTGCCACCCGGTACCACCCGGTGCCTCTCGGTGCTCCCCGGTGTCCCCCGGTGCCTCCCGGTGCCACCCGGTGCCCCCCGGTGCATCCCGGTGCTGCCCAGTGCAGCCAGGCCATTCCCCAGTGCCCCCCAGTGCCCCCAGTAGCCCCGGTACAGCCCCGGTAGCCGCGGTATCCCCGGTAGCCCCAGTGCAGCCCCGTTAGCCCCGGTGCAGCCCTGTTAACCCCGGTACAGCCCCGTTAGCTGCAATAGCCCCAGTACAGCCCCGTTAGCCCGGGTCCAGTCCCGTTAGACTGGTACAGCCCCGGTCCAGCCCCCGTGCAGCCCCGCTACAGCCCCGTTAGCCCGGGTACAATCCCGTTAGCCCGGGTCCAGTCCCGGTAGCCTGGTACAGCCCCGGTACAGCCCCGGGAGCCCCGGTACAGCCCCGTTAGCCCGGGTACAGCCCTGGGAGCCCCGGTACAGCCCCGTTAGCCCGGGTACAGCCCCGGTACAGCCCCGGTACAGCCCTGTTAGCCCCGGTACAGCCCCGGTACAGCCCTGTTAGCCCGGTACAGCCCCGGTAGCCCGGTACAGCCCGGTGCCGCCCGCAGGACGCCGTGCTGCTGGTGCAGGAGGCCAAGGCCGGCTGCCGCGGCCGCTGGTACCTGCAATAGCCCCGGTACATCCCCGTTAGCCCGGTCCAGCCCCGTTAGCCCGGTACAGCCCCGGTCTAGCCCCGGTAGCTGCAATAGCCCCGGTCCAGCCCCGTTAGCCCGGTACAGCCTCGTTAGCTGCAATAGCCCCGGTACAGCCCCGGTACAGCCCCGTTAGCCCGGTACAGCCCCGGTACAGCCCCGGTCCAGCCCCGGTAGCCCCGGTGCCGCCCGCAGGACGCCGTGCTGCTGGTGCAGGAGGCCAAGGCCGGCTGCCGCGGCCGCTGGTACCTGCAATAGCCCCGGTACAGCCCCAGTACAGCCCCGTTAGCCCGGTACAGCCCCGGTACAGCCCCGGTAGCTGCAATAGCCCCGGTCCAGCCCCGGTACAGCCCGGTGCCGCCCGCAGGACGCCGTGCTGCTGGTGCAGGAGGCCAAGGCCGGCTGCCGTGGCCGCTGGTACCTGC